AAGTTTGGTTTCTGAACTATAATATAGTTCAGAAACAAAAACTTGTAGGCTATAGAAGAAAGATTGCTTCGTCTGGAAGAAATTTACACAACGTGCCTCCGAAAGAAAACACTATGCAGGAAGCCATTTTTAGGAGAATCCTAATTATCGTTCCTGAGCCAGCCTCACACGAAGAGACGAAGCTCTAAAATCTTATAATCACCAAAAAAGTAAAAGACATTAAACTTTACCTCTGGAATAGGTAGAAAAACCACTAACAAAGAATCCGCATAAGTATCCACTCTGAGTCTGCATCCAGAACAATCAAATAGTGAAGTCGCTAGAGAAAGATCTTAAGCTGAATGAATATGACAAGAAAGGAGATTTCAATGAGAATATACAAATGTTGATGAACGTTTGAATACTTGCACGCTGATGAAGCCGCCAAGTGCACTAATTTGAGTCGGGGACTGGCCTGCGCGAGAGCTTCACTGCATATTTCACAGTCTAGAAAAGGCACCAAATGACAATAGTTTGCTTTAGCGAGATAACACAGGGAAAAAAAGATCGTACGGTCATACATTCATCGTTATCATACATAGACCATTTTACGCAAGTAGTCGTGGAAGTAGAAGGAGTTGAAGAGGGTATCAAGTGTTGGATATTTGAGAATGGTGTGTTACAGATAGCTCTTGCAGGTGAAAGTTAGGGCCTGGGGAGGCTCGTATTTGAGGTTCAATTCCACCGTTGATCATCGTAACTATTGTTCTCTGACCAATTTTGGTTCCATAACGGAACAATCACTTCATCCAATTTGTCCTTTTCAACATTATTCTTTTCAAATTCAATGGTCCTTTCATCCAATTTGTCCTTTTCAACATTTGTCTCTTTCATACAGTTGGACTTCCACGCATTTGACTTCTTCATCCAATACAACATGTTATTCATCTTTTTCATTGGACCTTACAACATTATATTTAGGAAAAGGATCGACTCTTCAATTATATAAGGTTGTGGACAATGGATGAAGAACATATAAATACATTGTCCCCAATCACCATTGCAATATTTTTCATCCTACTGGTTCCTAAATCATCTTCCAATAGAATCATCTCACTAATGTCCATTGCACCATACTAACATAGATTTTCCACAAACCCGTTGTAATCTAATTTCTTAAACTTAATAAACTCACCCTCGTGATACACCAATACACTTAAACCTCTCATCCATGATCATTCAAGCTAAATAAGATAGAAAGGATCAGTGAGAAATACACACAAACCAAAAAATTTACATTTTTATCAAGTTCAAACGTGAGTATTTATACCTTTTAAAGAATGGAGAAAAATAATAGAGGAAAGTATTATCCTTCTTTAAACAGTTCGTCTTCTAGGAATCTAAGGTTTACTGTTGTCTTCGTCTCCTATGTTTATGTTTCAAGTTTGGATTACCAAATGAAATGAAACCAGGGTTTAAGATTGTTCAAATGTTTGATTATAAAAAATTATTAACTTCAAATAAACCAAAAAAAAAATCATGTCAAATAACTTATAACCAACTAGATTGCTACGTATCCACAACTTACCATGTTTTTCACAATTTTAATAGAATTGACCAATTTGACTAACGAAATAATTTTTGAAGGGTTAATATAAACCCTTATTATTTGAGGAATTAAACTGAAATCTTAAATTAAGGAACTAAAGTGAAATCTTATCATTTGAAGTTTTTTTTATAATTCTTTGTAAATTTTTTTTAACAAAAATACCTAACATTATAAAAATCATTCCTAAAAAAGCTAAAACAAACTGTCCCTATATTTAACAAAATGATGACATGAAATTAATTTTCGTTGCAACAGAGGTAATTGACAAATACAAGTATTACTACACAAGAGAAATTGATACATCAACATCGGAACTAGTATATGTCAACTCGGTAACAATGGAACTATATGTTAGCTCGGTAATTTAAGCTATATGGTCACACATACACGGTGTATGATATTTCAGATATAACTCTCTATGACATGCAAACTACTCGATATAAGGGTACACAAAGGTGCGTTTAAACCGTTGTAGGGTCGTTGATCACACCCAAAAAAATCATCTTTTATAGTACCTATACAGAACTGCAAAAAAACAAAGGGGTGATAGGAAGAATAATTAGACAAGTAACATCAACAAAGTGGTAGAATAATAACCATTCTCAGTGCACAAAGTAACTGGACAATTTATGATCACAATTTTCTCACAAGTTCTAATGTGTTCTGCATCTTACTAATGAAGTAAAATTGCAGCATGGAGTAGTGATGAATCTTGCAAACCACAAAAGTGTAAACGTAAATAGTGACATTTACTGGGTAGTCACTTTCACATTCCATGTTGATCATTGATGAAATGGGCTTCCCTGTGGTGATAAAAGATTAACTAACACTGATAAAACACTAGCAAAAGCTATATCTGCCAGTGCTTAAGAACTTTCATATCCCATAATTTGACTCTCACTCAAAGCACTATTTAGTATAAACTGATGGAGCTTAACAGCATTCATATAAGCAAAGTAAAAGATGCAATATATGCGGGCTTACAATTTCAGTAGCGTCCACTCGAGTCCCGATTATCTTTAGTCTCACTTCACTATCTTTCTGGATCTTAACCTGCAAAAAACCAAATGATCATATGCCATAAATCAGAGAAGAAAAAACAGATGATATTGAACCTCGAAAAAACAAGTTGCTCTCTTCTTCTCCAATGAGAAGGTATTATAAATGATACATACTGATCCATCTGACGTAGTGTAGTTTGGCATGTCTCCAGACTGGAATTCCATATCATCTGGAATCAACTGAAAGGAGAAAAAAAGAGTCTCATCAAGACAAAAATATTACTCCCTCTGTCTCAAAATAAATGTCTCTTTAGCCTAAAAAATTTGTCCCAAAATAAGTGTCGTTTTACTTTTCCAATGCAACATTAATTGATTTTTACCAATTTTACCCCTAATTAATTATGTTTGCACTACTCTCAAGGCATTAAATTTCACTTTGTAAATGTGTTATATTTATTCTTTCACTCATTACTTTTCTTAATCTGTGTGCCTCAACCTTAAAAGACTTTTATTTTGGGACGGAGGGAGTAGAGAATAGTAATAAAGGAACAAGGAGATACTAAGAATAACTTAAGACATGTCATGTCTTTTACTACTCTAATGTCGAGAATAATAAATGAGAAACATGATTTTAGTGCTGAAAACGGAAAACAAGAATAACAGTATCTTAGATATAATTGTATAATATGAAAACGAATATGATAGAGGCCTTTTCTCAAAGGTTATAAAAGACCTTACATGGTTTGAAACGAAGATTTGAACTGGCCCAGCTTCGGCGAAAAATCCCATCTACATAAACAGAACTCGTCAATGTAATGTAGAGGACAAAGGAGAGTAAGATAAAGCTACAACAACAACAACAACCAAGCCTTATCCCACTAAGTGGATCAAGTTTCGCCATAATATTATGTCTAGGACCATGCTTCTATTCAAATCGTTAATCTCGAGATCTTTCTTAATTAACAAACAACTAGATAAAGCTAAAGAGTAAAATGTAGAGACAAAGGAATCGAACAAACCTTGTTCACCATGGTAACAACAGCTTCTAAGATCTCTCCCTTAAAAGGTCTGAAGACAACACATTGGTACTTAACCGGAAATGTCACAAACCCTGTCCCATCACGAATTATCCCTTTCCCAATGTTTTCAATCCCTGTAACTGCCACCACAAATCCATGTCGTCCGCTGTATAATAATAGTTGAAAATCCAAAAGTTACATTACTCAAAAGGCCAAAGAGATTAACTATTTAGTACAATGATATTAGCAATAAAAGAATCACCTGCAAGTGCCTTCGACGTCTTTCATGAGCTTGGAAACAAGATTTTCGCGAAGGTTACGACCAAAGTAGCGAGGGTGCAGTTGCATGTTTCGTTCCAGCACTATGTGGAAAAACATTTTTCTTATTTCTCCCTTTTCACCCAATCAAGACAGTAACTCCTGGCCACAACACAAAAAGTAAGAGTGAATTCAAAAAATAGCATAAAAACAGTAAAATCCATATATTGAAACAGAAAATTATGCAGTAGCAAAGCAAGAACTAGTGGATGGGTGGAGGGTCAAAGGGAGACAGGGTCAATTAGGGGTGTCTAAACACTTTAATCAAAATCACACAAACCCTAATCTAAACACACAAAACTCAGTAATAAAAATATCACCTGCAGCGTGGCAATGATCAAAGGAGGTGCTAGATTGCGGCGGGACGAACAGCGCGACGCCGCTGGCGGTGCCTGAAAATTTTCAGAATGGGAAAACAACAGATATTGAAAGGTGGGGCGTGACAGGTGTGAGGCGGAAATGACAAGAAGTGGACTCTTTGTTGTGGGAAGCGATGAGAGAGTAGAATTAAGGATCTTTTCTACTATTTTTATTTCTTGACAAATTTTTATATCTCATGTTTTGATCTCTTCCTTTTTTTTCTTTTCTTTTTTTACATTTCTATTGTTTATTTTTATATTTTATTTTTGTTGTTAATCTTTTTCTTTTCTATAATCTTACATATATTAATAATTTTTTTTGTTTGGTTGCCTTATTTTACATAATTTATAAAATTAATTTCTTTATTTTAAATGAGCTTAAAGATAGTGCATTGTCAACGTAAAATATTTTACACAATCAACATAGTATAACTTTTTAAAAAAATATTTTATATGTGATTTAAAAAAAAGTCAAACTTCTATAAAAATTAACTATCATTTCACTGACAGTTTTACAGTTTTACACTGTGGGTGTATTCTCATTAAATCTATTTTACATTTAAATTGTTTTATTTTTCGCTATTATTTGCATTAAAAATAATTTGGTGTCCATTTTTAAACATTTTTTTATCTATTTTTATTTATAATGGATATAAAGCTAATTTTGAGCGTAAAAATATGATTGAGAGATTTAAATTTGTTGAATTTAAAATTAAAAAATTAGTTCGTAAATCAAATAAAATAGAAGATCAAAACTATAGTTGAATCTGATTTTTTTTATAATAAATTTTTATATGTTTTCATGTACTTTTTCTGTATTGTCTTAAGTTTCATCAAACACTCAATAGTTCATACTAATATTTTTATAATACAATATATATATATATATATATATATATATATATATATATATATATATATATATATATATATATATATATATATATATATATATATATATATATATATATATATATATATATATATATTCGTAAAAGTACATCAGTGATAACTCTATTAACGAGGGTCAATAATGTCAGAATCGTCTCTTGTTTGATTGTCTATTTTGTGAATTGTGTATATTTTTTCATTGTGATCATCCTCTTATATTGTAATTCAAATTTGTCATGTACCTAAAACTTATTAGAGGCTATTTAATGTGATTGTCGTTGATATGTGTGATCTCTTTATGGTGATCCGCAATCATACTTGATTGTCAAATCCCATAACATAATGTTCTCGATCACATTAATATGTTATTCATCGTATCTCAATCAAATATTGCATTTATACTTAGTCTTGGGTTGGCATGATCAACCTGGCCTATTAGCTGCCTCAATACGGCCTTGTTTTGTTGGACGAGTTATCCACTAGGGTGGGCTCTATTGGATTCGGGCTAAAACCTAGTCCACTCGAGTGACCTAACCTGAGAAATCGTGGACGTATACATCCCCCTCAAACATGAGTCGTGAATGGGGAGAAATGTTTTTCCAGCCCCTCGAGCATGAGACCAATTAATATTTTTCCTAAGACCGATCAGTGATTATCTAAAACACCTATCTAAATAATCTTTTTCGGGCAAGCTTGCTTTAATTTTTCCATGTATAGAAACCTTTGATCATGACCAGATGATGTGAGTTGGCTACCATATTGTTCCATTTCTATCATTTTTTTGCTTCACACTTGTAACAAACACCTTTTTATTTTTCTCCCTTCTATGTCTCAAATATTTAACAAGCTCCCACAACCCCATGTAATATCATGTTTCCTCTATGTTTTTCCTTTCTTCTTTCATGGTATTTATTCGAGAGAGCGGCTCATTTGGAAGGGTCGGAATGCCCTCGAAACAATGTCGAGATGTAGGAGTTATGGGCTTAATTCCTAAAAAGTTTGAAATGGGGTACGAGCAAAGTAGATTAGAGATTTGTAGAAATTGAGCTCTTAGTTAGATACGAGAGTTCACCTAGTGGTAGTTCGGGGAGCGAATCGCCTAGCGATAATGACACTAACTTAGTGTATTCATCCTTAGGCCGAATAAATATTTCATGGCTTTCTAAACCTTTAACCAGAGTTCCTTTTGTGAGCAGGACATGAACATTGACTAGATATGTCCATAAGACGATTGAATACAAGCTTTTTGGTTAGATCAGAAGTTGTCCAAAATTTGGAATTAGGCTGATGTGATATTGAAGTTGTGTTTTATCGAGCAAAAATATTTTCATGCACAGACCTCGAAGGGTAAAGTAAAGGACGAATACTTTTACATTTATATCGGGGCAATCAAGGACTTTAGGGTCAGTGTTCCCTTTACCATCCTATAGTCTGACACTTGAATAATGTTAATGTTTCCCTTTCCCGGTTGCATCGAAACACCTAGGCATTTGTCTGAGGTGTTGAAATCCTTTGTTGGGGCCTTAATGTTAATCTTAAGTGAATAGGTCTTCGTGAGTGTCATCCTTGGGTGAGATCTTCTCCCTCCTTATACTTCAAACTACAAACACTAGAATGACAAGTTTTTCTAGGTTAAAGGCAATGCCCATTATGATGAGGTCATGTACGAGGAATACGAAACACATAGGTTTCCTTCATACTAAAAAGGTGAGCCTTGTGGGATATAACCCAAAAAAATTCAACAAGAGAGAGAGTCGACCTATTGAGGGCTTTCTATTATATGGGTAAAAGGCCTTCTTATACTTGGGGGAGATCTTGTGACAGTGAAGAGTTTTATGCATAAGATGTTTTCCTGATGCTCTAGCCTTATGCGCTATTTATAATTTGTTATAACCTTTTGCTTTTGTTTTTTGGGCATAGAGGATGGCCTACCCATTGAATTAATAGAAAGGAAATTTATGATGGTGAAGGTTAAAGCCCGCGAGGCGAGGTAGAACCTTTCACCAAAGTGACCCCTCCAGATTCCAAGCTTAGACATCTAAGAAAAGAAAGGATGACATAAAGGAGAAAATCATCAAATTAATCCCTTTACTAGAATCATGCCTCCCCTCCTCCTTAAAATATGAATTAAACCTCGAACAAAGAGGAATATGGTGGATCCTCTCAAGGGGCTAATAGATGTGGACTTATTTTCTTCCATAGACCTGGAGGTGGAAAGCTTTATGGAAGGTGACGACTACAATGGTCCTTAAAAATGTGGATCTTCCTCCACTTGTGGTGAAGAAGTGTCCAGCTTCTGGGAGAAGAGATTTGATATAATGTATTTCATGTATTACCACCTCAACACCATCGACGGAGTGGTAGGGCAAAATTCCCGACATGTAAAAGACATTTCATTTTCTTAGAACCTATATGATGAAGAGTGTTGTCTTAGATCATGCCCTATTTGAATACTGTGACGCTTTGTCAAAGAGGGAGATCGGCCTAAAGGTTTAGCTCAATAAGGTAAAGGAAAATTATGAGCTCAAAAAACCCACGATGACCTTTACTAACGAGAGAATAACTACTCTCAAGAAGGATTTAGTTGATGCCAAGGCTGCCTTTAAAATGGTTGGGAGAGAGAAAGACAAACTTCTAGGGAAAAAAGCCCATGAGACAAACTTTCATAGTCAAAGCACCAAGCTTGGTGGGGTTAAGGCTCAGATGAGTAGTATTGAGGTGGACCTTGAGGAGGATCATATTGATTATCTCCTTTTTGGGGACCACATGTTCGATAAGGCGAAAGAACAAATATGTTATCTATACTTTGAGCTCAACCTCAATGGTCTAGATTACTTTAAGGTGGCGGTGTATAGTTACCTGGTGGAAGAAACCAACCTGGTAGACAAAACCAAACCTTGGATGAAGAAACAAAACATTGATTTTTCTCAGCGGGTCGATATCTACTGACAAGGTTTCTATGGAGGCTGGGATCGTCCTATTAGAGAACTCTCCCGAAGACTCCCCCCCCCCCCCCCCCCCCCCCACACCCTCACGCCTAAGATGTTATTTTTTTTGTTTGTTTGAGTAATCCCCCCTGGCGCATTCCCCGCGTAGGATGTTATTTTTTATGTTTGTTTAAGTAATCTCGCCCCTTTGTTAGGGTCCTTTAGATTTGAAATTTCCAAACTTATAGTTAAGGAAATTGAGTTTTGTTTTGACCCTTATTGCTTGTGCTGTGCTAAAATTGATTGTGACTTTTCTTGTATTTGTTTTGATTATTTGTAAGCACTTAATGTCCCATTCCCCATAAGATTTTGGTAGATACCTCACGGGGCTTCGCTTGTATGCTTAAGAGACCGTGTAGAGTTATTGTAGATACCTCATAGGACTTCAACCTTAGGATTAAGAATCTTCGTAGGGTTCTAGTTGATACCTCATATGGCGTCACTCATTTTCTTAAGAGTCCTCTCATGGTTCTTTTAGATACCATGTAAGCTTAAGAGTCCCTATAAGGTCATTGTGTTCTTGTCTGATGAGTGTGTAGATTTATCACCAAGCTTTTTATTTTGCAGATAATCCACAACTAATTAAAACGCTAAGGGAGCCTCGCAAAAAAACCATGTCTTTGCAGAGAAAAAGAGTGTCACCCTAACATGTTGCTATATCGAATATAGATTAAAACTTACATAATGTCTAGCCCAAGAGTATTTTTCAACTATAATTGTGTCTTAATTTCACAATGTTCTAGGTTCTAGGAACCTCTTATCCTTTAAGGATTTCTAATTTATATGCTCCCTAGGATAGTTTCTTTCGTACTCGGAAAGGCCT